CCCAGAGCCAAAATGGGCTGCTTCGGCTCGCAGAGCATGCCGAAATGCTCGAACTTCGCGCAGCGATTCCGGACGACGGCCAGGGTGTCCATGGTCACGGAGCACGGTTCCGAGCACACCAGAGGCACGTCTACCGCGATCCGTAGCCCGTGACCGTGGACAGCCGCGCGCGCGCGCGCCGGCAAATGCCAAAGAGAGGCTCTCCCTGCTTCTCCCCTCATACCAAGTGATCTCACCAAGTGCGGCACCGGTACCGTGCTCTCCGCGTCGAGGCGCGCCTCGCGCCTGCCGCGCGCGCGATGGAGTGTCCGGCGTGCACCTTCGTCAATGCGCCCGGCGCGCCGGCCTGCGAGATGTGCTCGACGAAGCTGGAGACGGGCCGCGACGAGCCGCGCGTCTGCGCCCACTGCACGCTCGAGAACGAGGCCTCGGCCGCGGCCTGCGTGGCGTGCGGAAGCTGGTGGTGCGACCGCTGCACGGCCTGCGTGCTCGCGTCGTCGGCGACCTGCGACGTCTGCGGCTACCCGGACGAGCCCGCGGGCGACGACGCGGGAGACGCCGCCGCGGAGGGCGCCGCGGAGGACGGGGCGGCGCCGGGCCCGCCGAACCTGCCGCCGTTCTCCGCGGCGGCCGTCGCCGACGGCTACCGACCGCGGCGCGTCGAGAAGGCGCTCGCCGCCGCGCCGCGGGCCGACGTCGCGGCCATCGTCGACGACCCGGCGCGGTTCGTCGCGCTGTGCTGCGGCGAGGTGCCGCCGGAGCCCGAGCCCGAGCCCGAGCCGGAGCCCGAGCCCGAGCCGCCCGTCGCCGCCGCCGAACCCAGCGGCGACGACGACGGCGCCGACAGCGGCGACGACGACTACGCGGAGGCGGACGCTTTGATCGCGATCGCGGGCCTCCCGAGCACGAAGTGCCCCTGCTGCCTCGCGCCGCGATTCGCCACCGTCGCCCTCATGCGGGCGCACGTCGTCGCGAAGCACGTCTGGGACCAGAAGGCGCGGGCGAAGATCCGGGACGCGCGGCCGCCGCGGCCGAAGAAGAAGCGGAAGCGGTCGCCCCGGAAGGTCGTCGAGGTCCCGAGCGACGACGATGAGGTCCCGAGCGACGACGACGAGGACGAGGTCCCGAGCGACGACGACGACGACGACGACGACGAGGCGGGCGCCGACGTCTCCGGCGGCGCGCCCCGGCGGCGGTCGTCGCGCGCGCGGACGGCGGTCGTCGACGAGGCCGCGTGGGCCGAGGCCGTGGCCGCCGACAGCGACGACGCGGGCGACGAGGGGGATTAAAATTTAAGAGCCCCGTGAGCTTCCGGAACTTAGCCTGAGTTATCCATTGGCTAGGGATGTCGCGACCCAGACTCTAGTTTGCCAGTGCTAGTGGTCTTAGGGATCGTCGGACTCCGGTTCAGCCTCGCTGCTGTCCGAGTCTCCGTCACCGACATCAGACCGCACATCTGATGGATAATAGCCGCTAGCGACTCCGAGAACCTCTGCGGCATAGGCGACGGACTCGCTGGTGACCGTGAATTGTGCCACTGGTTTTGGAGGAAACGATGGCGGTGTTTCATCAACCAGATGCGCGGCCCAGGCAGATGCAACGTTCTCAGCCATCGTCTCATCGTCCGTTTCGTTCACGCTCGAATAGTCGTCATCGTCGTCTGGAGGCAGATACGAGTGAGAGAAATCAGGTCCATGCAGAATGCAGATGTGTTTGAGAAGAGCTCCAATGGCGCCAACGCAGTAGCAGCAGACTATTTCCATCGCAGCCGCGGTAATGCCAATGACACCGGCTCGACGTGCAATGCGCCGCGCAATGCGCGCAAGCTCAGAGCTCGAGAATTCTGGGACAAGTTCGCTCAGAAGTGATTTACGAAGATGCCCATGCTTCAGCGGAAAGAAGCATTGATTAACCTGCTCAGATAAATGAGGCAAAGTTTCAGTGAAGAAATTATTGATGTAGAATTCCAACCGTTTTCTATCATATGAGCTTGTTCGAAGCATCACACCAAAATGCAGCTGAATATCTACTGCGCCCACGGTGCCACCGGCCTCCGACAGCGATGGTATTGAAAAATCGTCGTTCGCTTCGGGTGCTAACGAGCGGTGCAACATGATAAGATTCGAACAGTCCAAAATTTCGCCCATCCACGTTTCCACGACCTCGCACAGAGCCAGGACGGCGCCGTCAGTGAAACGAGGTCGCGGATCGTCATTCAGGCAGCAGCGGTTATAGAGGGACTCGACGACCCGTCGCATTTTGACGGTGCCGAGGACGCTGCGAAAAGCCACTTCCGTGTTTTTTTGGAGGCGTCGCACCGCACGGATAGCGGGGAGTTCCAGGACGCCACGCCTGCCTGGTAATCTGGTCAGAATATTACAAGGAAGGAGAAGCGCGTCGCCGTAGCCGATGGGCTGAGGCTCCCAGAGCGCATCCTCGCCGAGCGCCTGACGCCACGCGACGCACACGAGCTCGCACCGCAGGAAGTCGGCGCCGTTGCGGACGTAGTGCAAGACTTCGCGCAACACATCGGGCGAGCGTAGCACCGTCGACGGCAACGCTGACATCGCGGAAAGAGTGGGGAGCGGAGAGCGAGCGACCGTGAGCTCGCGCTGATCGCCGAGGAGCTGTGCGCGCGACGGTGCCGCGGCGCGCTGCTCGTTGAGATGCTGTCGCGACGGTGCCGCGGCGCGTGTCTAGCCGCTATTTCGACGGCGAGGGCGCGCAGGGCAGAGGCTTTTGCGGGTCCCAGCTCTCAAAAGGAGTGCGGCAACATCCAACATATCAACAATTGATAACGCTGCCACCTTATGGGGCGGCCTTTGGGAGGCCCGCGGGAGTGCTTCTGCGCGACACCCGATAGTGACGCTCGCTGCGTCGGGCCGGGCGGGCGCTCATGAAGGGGCAGCCCGCTGCGCGCACCGGTTGGGCTGCGGGGCGCCGCGCGCGGGGACTTCCAGCCCTTGACCGTCGGCGCCGGCGTCGCCTGCGGGCTGGGCGGCTGCCGCGTGCGCTCACCTCGGTTGGAGACTTTCGGCGCGGGCCTCGGAGGGAGCTGAGGAGGTTGGCGCCGTCGGCGGTCTCGGTGTGCGGGCTTGGATGTGCCAGGGTCCATTCGTTTCTTTGCCTCCTGCGCCTGCTCAGAGTGTTCTCCCACGTGCGTCTCCTCAGGTTCCGCTGCCGCCTCGGCCCCTGCTGCCGCTGCCGCTGTCGCCTCTATTGCCGCCGCCTCTGCTGCCTCTGCTGCCCGCCCCTGCCGCTGCCGCCGCCGCCGATGTCGCCTCTGCCTCTGCTTCTGCTTCTGCTGCCGCCTCTGCTCCCGCTCGCTGGCCGGCGAGCGTCCTCTTCGGCGTGCGCCCTCGGCTAGCCATTCGTGGTCCTGAGGTGAATCGGGTTGGTCCGCCCGGAGTTCCTGCCTGCCGGGTGCGGGTGCCCTCGTTCTCAACTTCCCCCGGTCCACGGCGAGTACGGTGGGTGTGGCCCTCGAGCCCACTCAGGAGCTGCCGCCCCGCGCCTGCTCGGTCTGATTCGCTCCGGGGGGGTCCCTCCGCGGACCTGCCTCCCCTCCCCCGGACGGACGCTTCCGGGCGCGCACCCCCTTCAATAACTTGGTCAACATCCCGCCAAGCAACTTGGTTACCCTCGACGTGCGCACGAATCACCGGCCGAGCCTGAGGTCGACGCCGAAGGCCGTGCAGTCGCAGTAGAGGCCCTCGCCGTTCGTCGGCGGCTCGGCCTTGGGCTTGTTCGCCGTGGAATACTCGAGGCGAGCATGCCCATGAAGATGGCCGGCTCGAGCTCCGCGGCCGCCGGCGCGTCGCCGCCGGCCTTCGGGAGCAGATCGGAGAGAAACCCCAAATTACGACGACAGCCCCCCCCGCACGCCGCCCGCGCGGCGGAAGGCGCCCGGCCCGACCATCTGGCCCGTGCCCGCGAGCTTGCCGCCGCCGGCGGAGCCGACGACGACGCCGACGGCCTTGCCCGCGAAGAGGCCGCCGCCGCGTCTTCCGGCGATCTGCTCGCGCGTCTTGGCGGCCTTCTTCGGCCCGCGCTTGGGCCCCTCCTTCTGCGTGCCGAGGTCGACGACGCCGCGGGCCCGGTGGCCCTTGCGGACCCTGGCCGTCGAGTACGTGTCGACGAAGACGTCGTTGTCGTCGCGGTACGCGTCCTGCGTGTCCGCGTCGACGCCTGGGCAGCACAAGAGTGATTCAACGTCGCTTCAACGTGAGTGTTCCGCGCGCGCGCGTTCCGGAAAAAGCATCCACGCTTCGAGACCGTTCCAAGAGATGATCGCTCGTCCAAAAATCAGCCAAAACGAGTGGAAAACGGCCGAGATATGAGCCTTTGAAGTTGGGAATTTCGCTCTCTTGTCCTGCCCTGGTCCACGCCCTGGCGGCGGAAGCGGGACGTCTTCGACTGGGCGTACTGGGGCGCGTAGCGCGTGATCTGCCGCTGGCGCATCTTCGCCTCGTCGACGACCTCGACCTTCTCCTCCTCGTGGACCGCGGCGGTCACGACGGCCGCGGCGTTGAGCGCGGCCGTGTTCTTGCGCACGCGGAAGCCCACGGCGGAGCCGCGCGCCGCCGACGACGCGCGGCGGCTGTCGCGGTCCGCGACGGACGCGGACCGCGCGCGCGACGCGCGCCGCGCGGCCGATCCCGCGGCGCGCGACGGCCGGCGGCCCGCGGAGCGCGCGGAGTCGTCGTCGTCGTCGTCGCCGCCGGCCTTGGGGCCCTCCTTGAGCGTGTTCGTGCCCCGGATGCGCTGGTGGTGCTCGAGCGCGTCCGCGACCTCGGCGCTCGACCGGCCGCCGCCCGGCCGGCCCGGCGACCCCGGGCCCCGCGGGGACGCCCGGCTCGGGCGGCTCGTGCGCCGGCCGCCCGGCGACTCGATGGCGACGACGCCCTCGACCGTCTCGCGCTTCGGCGACGCCGCCGCCTGGTCCCCCGGCGCGCCGTAGTCCTCGTAGCAGCCCTGGAGCTTCTTCTTCCGCTGGTACGTGAGGGACCACAGCGGCACCGTGAGCATGGTGCTCCGCTTGTCGCCGGACCGCGCCGCGTCGAAGAAGCGCTGGCTCATCTCCGCGTCGAAGAGCAGCGTGATGAACTCGTCGCGGTCGAGCTCGCCGGAGCCGTCCTGGTCGATCTCGAGCATGACCCGGTCGATGTCGCGGCGGCTCGGGTTCATGCCGCAGAAGCGCAACGCGCTCTCGAGCTCGTCGGCGTCCACCGTGTCGTCGCCGCCGGCGAGGCACTCGAAGAACTCGTCCGCGTCCTTCAAATCGTTGAACGACAGCGACCGCCGGTCGACGCGGTTCGCGATGTACGCGTGGAGCTTCAGCCAGCGCTTGCGGTCGATCTCCCGCGTCTTCTTCGTCGCCGCGTCGCACATGGCCGGGGTCAAAGGCTTGACCTCGACGAGCGACGGCGCGATGGGCGTCGCGCAGAAGAACTCGCCGTCGCGGCCGCTGGCGCGGTCGACGAAGGACACCGTGCGGTCCGGCAGCGTCTTCGGCGTCGTCGACCGCAGATTCTGCCGGATGGCGTCGCAGATGCCCGACGACACGGGCCGCCGCGGGAAGGGCATGGCGCTCGGCGTGCGCGGGCAGCCCGGCGCGGCGGGGAGAGCACGATCGAGAGTGGCGCGTTACTTGATATGCTTACGGCATCGTGCTGCGACGTTGACGCCCCCCGTGCAGTAAACTTGGACTCACTACCTTACGTCGCCAGCCCGTAGTGGCCCCGATGCCGTCCGGCAGGTTTCGGGTTGGACTTGGTCCAGGGCGGCTTCGTGAGCTTGCCGCCCGCGGGGCTGATGCTGCGGCCGAGGAAGCGCGCGTCGGCGACGTTGGGCCGCCGGCGCGCCGGCGCGCCCTGGCTGTCCTCGCGGAGGTCCGGGCTCCGCGGCGCGAGCGGCAGGGGCCGCCGGCGCGCGCGCTCGGCCTCCTCGTCCCGTTCCTCGAGCTGCGCGAGCACGTCCTCGTACTTGGTCTTCCAGGACGCGGCCTGCTTCTTCGAGCGTTTCAGGGCGTCGCCGAGCGCCGGCGACGGCGCCGCGGGCTCCGGCGACGGCGGCGGCGGCGCCGCGGGCGCCGCGAAGGGCGCGTGGAGCACGAGCTGCCACCGCGCGGGCGCCGCCGACGGGCGCACGAGCAGGCTGTCGAGGCCCGTGGTCTGGCGGAGCGCGCGCACGTCCAGGAAGGCCGGCGGCGGCTTCGGCGCCTTCTTCAGCTTCGACCGTTTCTTCTTCCGCGCGGCGACGCGGTCCGGCGGCGGCAGCGCCTCCAGCGTGAAGAGCCCGTCGACGCCCGCGGGCTTCAGACGCCAGCGCGCGTGGGGGTCGTCCTTCTTCGGCACGACGCGCGCGGCCGTGCCGTCGGGCAGCGCCTCCTCCTTGGATTTGGCGGGCCGCGCGGCGAGGTAGCCGCCGCCGTCGCTCGCGCGCAGTCGGAACGTGCCGAGCGCGTCGAGGGGCTCGAGCGTCCAGTAGTCGCTCCACTGGGCCGCGTCGGCGCCCTCGCGGGCGAGCTCGCAGCGGCCGCCGCGGTGGTTGTCCGCGGGCGCCGCGAGGGCCCAGCGCCGGGCCGCGTGCGAGTCCGCCAATCGCAGCTTCACGCGGCTCCACATCCAGGCGCTGAGCTGCTGCGCCGCGAGCGTCGCCTTCTCGAGCTCGCGGTTCCGCGGCGTCGCCGGCCGCGGGCGCTGGCGGCCGAGCTTCCGCTCGATGCGCGCGACCGTGTCCTCGATGTTCGTGACGCGCCGCCGGACCTCCGTGTCGTGCGGCGCGGCCGGCGGTTTGAAGGGCGTCTTCGACTTGCGGTTGAGCAGCTTCTGGAGGACGACGCCGTGGGTGTCGTTGACCTTTTGGAGCGCGTCAATCTTGTCCGCCAGGCTCTTCACGGCCGCCGAGAGCTCCGGGTCCGCGGACGGCTTCGGCGCGCGCGGCACGCGGTAGGCCTTGCGGAGGCCGTCCATCTTCTCGCCGAGCTCCTGCTTCGCGTCCGCTAAAGCCGCGCGCGTCGCCTCGACGCGCTTCAGCACCTCCGCGGAGTCGTTCTTCGGCAGCTTCAGCTTCTGGCGCTTCTTGATCGCGCGGACGTCCTCGCCGGTCTCGTTGACGACCTTCTGGATCTCGTGGAGCCGGTGGTCCAGGTGCGCCGTGTTGCTCTTCGTGATGGTGCTCGGCGCCATCTTCGGCGCCGCCTTCTTCTTCGCGCGGGCCTCCTCGTCGACGGCCTTGAGCTTGCGCTCGACGACCGAGAGCCGGCCGTCGAAGTGGGACGTGCCGTTGCGGATCTGGTCCGACATGACGACGACGCGCTCCTTGACCGTCTTCGGCTCCTGTTTCGCGAGCGCGTCGATGGCCTTCTTGCATTCGCGGACCTGCTGCTCCAGGGCCCGGAGCACGGGGCCGTCGCTCTTCGGCGGCGGCCGCGGCCGCGGCTTCGCTTTCTCGGCGGGCCGCGCGCCGATGGCGACGACCTCGCGATAGATCTCGTCGAGCTTCGCGTCGCTGCTCTCGTGGCGTCGCACGGCCCGTCGGATGTCGACGAGCGTCTTCTGGACGGCCTTCAGCCGCGCGAGCTCCTCGCCGCTCGGCCGCTCGGGTCGCTTCGCGTGAGCGAGCGCGTCGACCTTGGCCTCGACGCGGTCCGCGCGCTCGTTCGTCGACGCCTCGGCGCCGGCGACGAGGTCGCCGACCTTGCCCATGGCGTCCGTCAGCTGGCGCATGAGCTCCCGCGACTTCGCGTGGTTGTCGAGCACCTGGCCGACCTTGCCGTCCAGCTCCTTCAGCTCGACGCGTTCCCGCGCCTTGAGCTCGCGCAGCACGGCGCCGAGCTGCTCGTCCTGGGACGTGAAGCGCCGCGCGAATTCCGCGCGCAGCTTCTTGAGCGCCGCGGCGCCGTCCGGGGGCGCGCCGAGCTCTTTTTGCTTCGCGTGCAGATGGACGACGGAGCTCAGGATGTTCGACACGACGCGCTCCACGCGGGCGACGGACGGCGGCACCTTGGACGTGCGCGCCGCGACGGCCTTCAAGGCGTCGTTGATGGTCATGAGCTTGCTGTTCAGCGGGCCCTCGACGTCCATGAGACTCTGCCGGAGGACCTTCGTCTGCGAGTCCAGCAGCGACGTCACGTCGACGCCGCGGCCCGGCGCGGACGCGGCCGCGAGGCCCGACAGCGCCGCGTCGTCGACCTGCGTCGCGAAGCCGATGGACTGGGCGTGCCGCAGGGCCTCCTTGAGCTGCGCGTCGCCGTCCGCGGCCTGCAGCGCGTACAGCCGCTTCCGCAGCGGATCCGTCTCCTTCTTGGCGAGGTCCGCGAGGGTGCCGACGGTGTCCTTGACGTCTTTGAGCTCGTCGACGATGGCGGCCTTGTGCTCCGCCCAGGTCGCCGCCGCCGCGGCGTCGGCCCAGTCCGGCTTCTGGCCCATGAGCTTGACGTCGTCGGCGACGTGGCCGAGCGCGACGCGGATCTCCGAGACCTTGGACCTTAACCCCGCGACCTCCAGCGCGGGCCTTTTCGCGAGGTCGTCCTTCAGATTCTGGAGCACGTCCGACAGGGACCGCATGTCGCGGCGCACGGACGCCTCGAGCTCGCGGAGCCGCTTCTCGAGCTGGTCCTTCGAGAGGCCGGGCTTTATCTTCCGCACGTCCGCTCGCGTGCCGTCGACCTCGCGCTCGAGCTTGTCCATCTTCTCGAAGGCCCTGCGGATCTTGCCGGAGAAGTTCGGGGGCGCTTTTTGTTTCTTGAGCTCGTCCTGGACGTCGCGCAGCGCGTCGCCCATGGACCCGACGTCGCGGCGCACGGACGACTCGAGGCCCCGCCAGTCGCTCTGGAGGTGCTCCGTGTCCAGCGTCGGCTTCTCCAACAGGCTCTTGCTCGCGCGGTCCGACGTCCGCTTCAATTGATTCATGGCGTCCGTGAGCTCAAGGAACTTCGCGTCCATGGAGCCCTTGAGCTGCCTCAGGCGCTCGTCGACGTAGCTGGGGTTGTCGCCGCGCGGCGACGCGCGGCGCTCCTTGCCGAACTGGGACAGGATGTCGCGGTCGTTTCTATTGAGATCGGCGAATTTCGTGAACATGTCCTTGTCGTTGCGGTCCAGGCCCTTCTGGAGGCGCCGCATGTCGTCGGACAGGCCCTTGAACTTGGCATCGATGGCCGCCTGCATCTTTCTGAGCCGCGCGTCGACCTTGGGGTCCCCTGTCGCGTCGCCCGCGGGGGGCAGCTCGTCGCGCAGGGTGCGCACGTCGTCGCTCATGGCCCGGAGCTTGCGGTCCATGGCCTCGTGCATCTTCTTGAGCCGCGCGTCGACGTAGGGCGCGACCTCGTGGTACCGCCTGTGTGGAAATAAAATCTTCAACCCGACTTCAATGTGCGTGTAATCGAACGATTTGGACCAGACTCTCTCGCTGTGCTTCGAGAACACGACGGGAGCAATCGATCCGTCCAAAAATCAGCCGAATCGACTCCGATTTGATTGAGATAGAGAGTTCTGAAGTTTGGTGGGGACCCCCCAAACCAGTGGTTGATTTCCACACAGGGTACCGCGTCGTCCCGTGGGCCTCGTAGCCGTCGTGCTGTTCCGGCGCCACGGGCGCGCCGCCGGGGGTCTTGCCGCCCCGGAGCTTGCGGAGGATGGCGTCGAGCTTGCCGTCCATGTGCGCCATCTGCTCCGAGGCCTCGGGCGGCGGCGGCGCGCCGAGGAGCGCCGCGAGCATGACCTCGGCGTCGCCGGCGCCGTCGAGCGCGGCGCGCACCTCGCCGTCGCGCTCGAAGACGCGCCGCCGCAGCACGGCGAGTTCGACCTCCTTCGCGAGGTCGTCCTGGGCGCCTTTCTTGAGCGCCGCGGAGACGACCAAAGCCCCGAAGACCGCGACGGCGCGGATCTTCTGGGTCTGGACCTTGCCGCGCACCTCGTCGAGCGACGCCGTGAAGAGGTCGGCGAAGGCGCCGCCGCCGCCGCCGCGGAGCCAGTCGGCGACGTCCTCGCCCGCCGCGGCCTCGACCGCGGCGCCCGCGCCGGCCTTGACCTCCGCGACCTTCGCGTCGACCTCGGCGCAGGCGGCGTCGGCCAACGCTTTCGACTCGGCGGCCAGCGCCTTCTTCAGGCCGCCCAGGGACTGCTTGAGCGCCTTGCGCGCGTCGCTCGTCGCCGGCGGCGCGTCGTCGTCACCACCAAGGAGCCAAGCGGACGACGACGCTCCGAAGCGCGCGAGCGCGTCGATGGCCGCGCCGGCGCGCGACGCGTCGCGCAGCGCGGCGACGCTCGGGTGCCGGAGCC